TTGTAATCAGGATAGAAAAGCCAGGGGAATCACAGATACTAACCCAGATGCCCATCTTCTTTTCTGTGAAATATGAGACCTTTCTGTGACACATAAGCTGTCACTTGTTGGACCAACTGCTCTTGCAGTTGAAGTTACTCTTCACTGATATAGAGAATATGGAGTGCAAAGTTCTTGGCATACTTTGAGCTCTGAAGATCTATGACACTACATGCGGGAGCCAGAGAGCAGGCATGGTGAGAAAGGACAGGCAGCGGGACTGGACCACAGTTCTGAAAGGCTTCAGAGTGGTAAGGAATAGGATGACATGGAATCGGCAGGAGTGCACGAAGATTTCTTCTATGCTATTGCTGCTCTCTTGGCTCTGGCAGAAGACTGAGAAGAGACATAGATCTTTTATTGAACTTTCAATGTTCAAACACATTGTAGATGCTCATCAAATGGTTATCACTATCATTCCATGAGGTCACTCTTGGAGATGTTATTGTCTTTAGGTAAACTAGATTTTCCAGAGGTATACGGGTTTGCAAACTTGTCCCAGCTCTCTGTCCCTTGGAGGCTGTAGAGCGTGATCAAGGGAAATGATACTTGGCTTTGGAGTCAGATTGAATCCACTTACTTGCTGTTATTGCCTCGGGCTTAATTCCTGAGTCTCAGGTTCCTACTTGTAAATGGACACCTATCTCATAGGGTTGGTATGGAATAATGTACGGAAAGCACTGGTATGTAGTAGGCAATGGAATAACTGGAGAGCTCCTTGTGGGCCTTGCAGGTTGCCTTCCAAACATCACTTTTTCCTCCTTCCTAACAGAGCTCCACTTTGGACTAGTCATCTCCTCCTCCCAGCTGAGGAAACTCAGGCTCAGAAAGCTTCTGTAGCATTTCTGAGGTCGCACATCCTAACACGTTTCAGAGGCAGCAAGTCTTCAAACCAGGTCTTCTGACTCCCAGCACATTATTTTTTCCAGTACCTCTCATTTTTGGAGGAATTAGCACATTTATCCAGCACAACAAGGTACCTGGCATTCAGAGGTTCTCAACTGTAGTCTGTTTCTCCTCAAGGGCAAGACACAGAAGTCACATGGCTTTTATGACCTAGACTCAGAAGTGACATACCCTCTCTTCTGTCATAATCTGTTAGTCACGCAGACCAACTCTGAAAGAACGTGGAAGGAGACCACACTAGGCTGTGAGTCCTGGGAGGTGCAGATCACTGGAGACTCTTGGAAGCTGACCACCACAAGCATCTTAACATTTTTATGAAAATAGTTTTGCCTTTACAAATCTCCTGAAAGGCCTTGAGGACTCCAAGTGACTCACAGATCATTCTTTGAGATCCACTGCCTGTGATCATTTTAGATCTTGCCAATGTATGTGATTTATGCTACTATTCTGAAGGTGATTCTCAAATCAACCTCTCTTTTGCAGATTTGTCTCAGTTTGTCAGATCTCACTTGAAAAACAAGTTTTCCAGAGAGACCCTTAGTCTATCCAGCATTTTGCTTCTGCTGCTGGCTGAGCGAGGGTGCTGGAAGAGTAGAGCAGTTGCCTTCCAGGACAGACTTCATAAAAGTCAAGTGTCACATGGTCATTCAAAATCTCATCAAAGCCTTTTGCATCTATGTGTTCATCTTAAATATTTTTGAATACTTTCAATCTGAACCACCGCCCTGGCTAGTCACCTGTATCAAGTAGGAACTTCTTTCATTTATCCCAGAAGGCCCCAGCAAGGGTCCCCGAGGCAGGCTTGACTTCTACATGCTAAGACTTGGCAAATATGCCCATGGACAACTTATCCAAATGCTCATGACTTTGAGACACTAATCTTTGTTCCATTTCAGAAGAGTCCTAACACTTGTAGTGTGTGATACAGCTCTGCCACTCCCCCTTCTGGATGAACACCCTCCTCCATCACGTTCTTCTCGAGACCTTGGCTAGCAGAGCTTCAGTACACAGCCTGTGTCAGTTGCACTGGAGTGTATACTGGGACAGGGCAATAGTGTTCCATTTTCCCAAGTCTGTCACAATGCTCAAAGTCCAGTTTGCACTGTGGACCATTGAGTGATCTCTGTCTAGCTGCCTTCTTTCCTTCCTAGAGCAGTACGCCCCTCCCATGGCATTTTCTTCAGCCCCATTCCATGAGGTTCTTGTGGGTCATAATTATATTCCACCCACTTTGGCCAAAATGATTAGCCCAAGAAAGGGTAAATAACCATGTTGGGCCTGCCAGGGTCTGGAATTGTCTTCAGGGAAACCAAACTGGGAGGCCCTTTTTCCTAGTCTGAAGTCAGAGAACCGACTGGAGCTGCCTGTCATCATGTTTTCTATTGCTGCTTTCAGTAAGTGAAAATGTAGCTAAACAAGACTAACACCACCAAGAGTAAGACAAATTAGACTCTGGCTGGGTAGCTCAGTTGGTGAGGGCATTGTCCTGATACACCAAGGTTGCTGGTTCAAACCCCAGTCAGGGCACATATAAGCATCAACCAATGGATGCATAAATAAGCAGAATGACAAATCAACATTTCTCTCTCTCCCTTTCTGTCTCTAAAATTAATAATTTTTAAAAAAGAATAAGACAAATACCAACAGAAAGTTTGTCCCTGGATTCACTCCAGCCTGAGGCTAATTCTAACTACCTTCCTCCCAGTGATCTGACTCAAGAATAGTCAGAAGTGTGAGGTTTCTACCAGTTTTCATTGAAAAAAGCCTTCATACAATTGACTCTTTGACCTCAAATTATATTGTGAGAGATCTATGTCCTGAAGGAGAACGTGTTGAGAGAAAATAGCAGAGGGCTGAGAATTCAGTGAAGATAGAAAGAGGACTGAGAAGGGTCTGGCCAGAGAAAAGACAGGCAAGCCAAGGAACATCTCACAGAAGCAGATGAGCTAGTTTTAATTGGGTGATAGGGAAACAGACACTCCCATGGACTTGGAGGGAGAGTAATTTTTCTTTTTTTAGGGCAATTGGCAGTATCTCAAGATTTGAAATATTCCTGCTCTTTGAGCCAATAATTGTACTCAATGCAGCATTGTTTGTTGTGGTAAAAAGCTGGCAATAATTTCAAACAGTTGCTTCATCAATAGGCAGTTGGCTAAGTAAATTATGGAAACATGTCCCAGTTCTATTGTTAAGGGGGGGAAAGACTATACAAAGCATTTGGCTATAGATGTGTGTATTTCATATGTACAGAGAAGAAAACTTGGAGGATCATACATCGGATAACTGGCACTGGTGATCTCTGTAGGGGTGACTGTAATTACGGAGAATTTTCACTTTCTAAATTTGTATGAGGCTGGAATGATGTGAGATTAACCTCTGTTCTATTTCTGTTGCTGTAAGATAATGTTTCCCTTCTTTCACTATTGTATTCAGAGTTCTAGAATCTCTGACCACACGGGTTTGTTCATTCATTCATTCATTCATTCACTCATTTATTTAATCAGTAAAGGATTGAGTGACTCAATACCAACCATGTCAGACATTCTGATAGGTCTTGGGCATATAATAGCAAAACAGGATTTTATATGGTTGTGAAAAACAAGTGATGTGTTATACAGATGCACGGGGAAGAGGGGAGGACTAGAATGCCTGAGTGGAGACAGTAGGGTCCCATTACTTCCAAGGAGATAGCATATACGAGACCCTAAAATTGAAGTGTATGTAAGGAGTTTGAGCTCATAGGACTGTGTGGTTAGAAAGAACAATGAGGAATGAAGCCAAGGTAAGGGAGAGAGTGAGGCAGTGTACCTACAGATGGGATGCCATTGTACATCAAGTGAAAAAGGAAGCCACCAGAGGGTTTGGGACCAACTGTAAAATGAGCACTCTGGTTGCTATGTTAAGACTAAATTGGAAGGGGCACTGGTGAAAGCAGGGAGACCAAGTAGAAAATGATTGCAATGATCCAGGTGAGCAAAAATGGCTTGGACTATGGCAGTTGAGTGGTTGGGTTTCAAATGTTTTTAAAAATATATATATTTTTAAAAATTTACACTTATTGATGAGAGAGAAATCGATGTGAGAGACATATCCATTGGCTTCCTCCTATAAGAGCCCGAGCAGGAGACAGAACCCATGACTTACATATGTGCCCTGACTGGAATTGAACTGGGACTTTTCGGTTTAAGGGAGAACCCTCCAACCCAACGAGCCACACTGACCAGGTCTCAAATGCATTTTGAAGGTACAGCTAATGGATCTGTTGGACGAGAAGGAGGGAATGAAAGAAAGTAGTGCCCATGACTCAGGGTCCCATACTGGGGCTGTCACACTTCTGGAAAACAACCCTTCTCCCAAGATTGTTTGAAGCCTAAGCCCACTGAGGGGGATTCCACTGAGTCACCCCGAACAGGTGGCAGTGCAAACTGCTGCTGAGTTGAAGGAGGCAGAGAAAGAACCAGGGGACAGAGGGCGAGGTTTTGGGCTTTATTGTGGGACAGACCCATGCCCTGTGTGCAGTGGGCCCCAGAGGTGATCCTAACCATGGGGTGCCGGGGGAGGCTGGATGCTTAGTGCCACAGCCCTGACACACTTGGGCTGGGAGGGGGGAAAACACAGACTGCATTTCCACCCACCAGAGCAGAAGGCTCATAGCCAGGTTTAATTTGATGTAGAAAAACCAAGTGTGGTGTCATTTCCTGTACTCTTGTGGTGTGGAGCAAATTCTACATATTTTTAATGTATATGTATAACGTGGTGTGTACCCATTATACATATTTTATAATGTTGTGTTTTTGCCTTTAAAGACATATGCGTTACTTTTGTAATCACAACAAATAAACACATATAGAAAGAATGGTGAAAAATAATTCAAAGAGGGTCATGGAGTTAGCTTATTGAGAAAAGATAGGGTAGTAAGTGGAGTCTTCAAGGAGTAAGATAGAAGAATGAAAAAGGAGAGTATGAGAAATTGAAGCAGTGACTAATAAAAGTCTCCTTTGGGAAGCTTGGCAAAGAAAGGAAATAGTGAATGGTAAGAACAAACAGATACCACGTGATTCTGAATAAAGTTTATTAAATAATATGTACAGCAAATGTAGTAATTCAACACTTCTATTTATCAAATCAATCCACTGCAATAAAGAAAAGTAAATGAACAGAAAAACCTGTGTCTGCATGGTACATGTTCCTGGTGTGTAATTTAAATGGCAAAACTTTAAATTAATTGGTTATATATAATGTCAGGTATTTTTCTTTCAGAATGTAATCTTTTTTGTAGTAACCTATTCTAGCAATAGGACTTAATACTACTTCAGAGAAATAGAACTGCCAAAAAAACCCCCACAAACAAACCAAGAACCCCCAAAACAAAAAATTCCAAACCAAAAAAAAAAAAAAAAGAAGAAAAAAAAAAGAAACTGTGACTGAGATTGAAGATACCTTCTCTTCCGGAAATAATGATTACTTAAAATTTTAACACTTTACAATGGCTATATTTGTGCTAAAAATCTGCCGGTGAGTTATTTGTAATTCCTTCATTTAAATAAAAATGCAAAAAACTCCATGACTTCCTTATTTTACCCCCTTCAGTTCAAATTTTTAAAATTATTTTTCTATACAAAGTAGGTACATGGGCTATACAAAGTTAAATATACATATTTACAGTCCCACTTAAGCATATGATTTTCTTCCTTTACTGATCCCGGAGAGACTGCAAAAGAGAAGTAGTTTGGGGCTTGCCTTTATCCAGAAGCATGGCTAATATATCAAAACTGTTAGCAAGGCATGCCGCCAGTTAGTTGCACTTGCTATTAATAAACCTGTATAAACATCTCAGCATAAAAATAGGTATTTTATATTACTAAATGTCTGAAGACAAAAGAGCCATTGGAAACCTCTGTTCCTTGTTTTGTCACACATAGGAAGCTGAAGTTTGATGCAAATTTTAACATATGATTTTATTAAAGACTGGCAAATTAGTGAGGCATATCTGAGTCTCTGGAGATATACAAATGCGTGAGGCTGGCGTCATATGCAAATGTGGCTTTACAAATTGGTTTTATTTTCTAGCTGTATTTAAAGAGGTGTTCAAAATTACCTACTTAATCAGGAAGCACCCCTCAAAAACCTATTAGATAAAATCATGATATTAATGGTTTGCATCTACGAAAGACCAGGAAACACATCAGCCAATACAAGAATTACATTTCAAAATGGGTGAAATGCTGCTGTGCAAATGCACGTGCATACACACTTGTACTATATTCTGAGTCAAAAACACAGTGTCCTGGGAAGGTGGAGTGGACCTTCCAAAGCAATGAGTCTTATTTAAGGAATTTCTATCCAGGAAGCTCCTCCACCTACCTGCACCCCCAACATTAGTTCTACAATCTTTTCCTTTGGGATTAAGGCTCTGCTCTAGTTACTGGGAATAGGTAACACATTCCTCGTATCAGCCATTTACACTTTAGTGTGAAGAAGTCAGCGAGCAAGATTTACAAAGAGGACAGGGAGAGAAGTGAGGGTACTGTGGCTGTCTGATGGGGGTGGGCAGCTGATGGGATCCTAAAATGAGTAATGGAGACAGAATTTGAGGCAGGGACACTGAAGACAGATTTTGCGTAGTTGTAGAGACCCCAGACTTTGGGACAACAGTCCGTAGGCAATTCTGAGCTATATGCCAAGAGCTAGGATTCCTGTACACACCCTAGCACTTGGGATTGCTATTCCTATTTGTGACTGTGGATGTGTTTGTGGGGAGAGTGAGAGTGTAAAGATTGTGGAAACAATTCCAAGTATTTTCAGCCATAAAGTACCCTTGGGCAAAGGTCCTTCCGGCATCCTACTTATTCAACAGTGAGCTAATGGAGACAGAAATGTGATAATGCTTTCTAGGATCCCTCCAGGGAAAGTTTACCTCTTCCTCTCTCCCATCCTTCTCAGCACATATCACAATCTCTCTTGGTTATTTTTTTGTGTATCTGTCTCCCCGGTCACCTCTGAGTTTCCAACAGGCAGGGAATGGGCCATTTCCATCTTTCATTCTCCAAGGGGTCTAACAGAGAAGCCAATAAACATTCTTGAACTAGGTAGACTTGTGACTGAACACGCCTGGTGTCGCAGGGGCCCTGGCATAGATCTGACCTCCTGGAGTGGCAGAATTGCTTCCTCACGCCTGGGGCCACTGCATCTGCACCTCTGCTCTGAAGAGAAGCCTCTCCAGGGCCACTGCATCTGCACCTCTCTGAAGAGAAGCCTCATAACCCTGGGTGACTGAGCACATTTTGAGTGGCCCTTGAACTCCTGTGGGAGTACAAATGAAACACGGTGAGTCTCTTCTCGGCTCAGAGCACGCCTTGCTCATTGGCAGCCCCGGCATCCAGCATACATCAGTGTGTGTTGTTAAATGAGTCACTGAACACTGCCATCCTTGGTTCTCTGAGAACAGGCCTATCAACCTCAAACTGCCTGGCCAAAAACAATCCAAAAAAGAGAGGTTAGCAATGGCATTGATAAATGAAACCGCTGCCCTGAAAGTGACCATCTGTGAATGCCAGCACTATGGGAAAGGAACACACTGCCTGTGACCTCAAAAGCTAACAGGGCTTCTTGACTGAAGTCACTCCAACATAGACATTTAACTATCTGCCTGGCCACCAGCTCCCACAGGCAAACCTTGTGTGGGTTTCTGTCTGAACACCAGGGGTGTCAATGGCAATGCCACATGCAGGCTGGACGCACAGGGTGCCTAAGTTTTGCCTCCATTGCTCCAGAAACTTCAGCAGGTCCAGTGAGGGTCTCGGTCTTCAGGAGTTTGGGGGTGTCAGCAGCCTAGATAGATCTCCAGCAGTGTTGGGGGACCAGGGGGGTCTGAGTGGCGAGGAGTGGGACTGGAGTCTGTGTGTGGAGCCTTTGGAGAATGGCTGGGAAGCTGCCTGGCACTCTGAGGGCTGATTCAGGCTAAGCGCCGAGACCCTTTAGAGATGGAGCTGGTCAAGGGTGCTGCAGCCGGAGGCATTTCTGGCCTAACTGCTCCTGGACTGGGCTACAGGTCAGATTACCTAAGATGGGGAGAGGAGGGGAGGGCTGGAGTGGCTCCCAGAGCAGCTAAGTAAATACAGATTTGCCTCATTCCTTTCTGCTCAGCACATGGTTCAGGCCTGTCTGATACACAGTAAGCTTAGACAGGCTCCAGTTTCAAACACAACACACTTCTCTGTCCCTCTCTTTTGCTTCTTACTTTTATCCACTGCATTACTTTTCCTACTGACTCAACTTTTAAATAAAGAGACTGGTTCATGAATTATGCTTCATTCTCCAATAAAAATCATCTCTGTGGTTTTCAGTCTTCTTATAGATACAAAGGCTTTACATAGTTGCCTGGAAAAGTACCAAACTGTCTTGTCCTTCTTGAAGTACCTATAAAAAAACACACATATGCACAATGAGAAGACTAGCCCACATGAGTTCAAAGACAGACCCTGATAACACTCCTGCAGCTTGTAGTATAGTGTATGGTTTTCCAAAGCACTTTCCCTTATCTCATTTAGGTTGCAAAATAATGCTGAGTGGTAAGCAAGGCAGGCATTTTTAATACTCTTTTTTTTTTTTTAAATGAGCTTTTTTCAGAGCGCTTAAGTGACATTGCTGAAGTCCCATAGCTCAGTAAGCATCGTAGGCAGACTTTGATTCCAGGTCTTCTGACTCCCAGCCCACTGCTCTTTCTAATACTTCTCCACTTTGGAAGAATGAGCACATTCATCTTCTAAACTCTAGGATTTCTAAAAGTCCACTGGATGTGACCACACATCAAAAGGAAATTCCTCTCATAAGCCTGCCTAAGTCCTAAATTGACTGCCTGTCTTTGCTACCAACTTTATTAGGGTTTTCGTTGAGCCAGGAACACTAAGCTACTTGGGAACAAAGCCCTTCCTGGGCTGCTCCATATCCAGAACTGCTGGATTCCTCATCTCCTTCCTGCCCTTGGGGGTCTCTCTGGAGAATTGGCACTGTGTGTGTGTGCACGTGTGTGTTATGTTGTGTTATCATTACCCTCTCATGAACAGACATCACAATTTGATCACTGCTTCCTTTTCCCACCTGGCTTGGACAGAACTTCAGAAACCTGTTGAACACATTTCAAGCAGCCACTACCAGTGGGTCGGAGCTGTTGCCCAAAGTGGAAGAAGACATCTAAAGACATCTAAAACAACTATTGGAACCCCTTGGGTGGTGGGGCTGGTCAAGGAGGACGCAGAGACGCGCTCAGATGCTGGTTAGCACCATTCCTTGTGGGCAAGAAGGAGCTCTGCTGGGTTACTTTATTCTTAGTCTGAATATTAGGTTACTTTTTGAAGTGTTTGAGGCATTGAAGAATCTGAAATATTTCCTTTACTAAGCTGCCGGGGATGCCCCATTAGAAAATGCCCCTCACCCACCCCAAGTTCTTATAAAAAATGTAAATGCTTGTGGAAGAGGTTAATAGCTAATATGTACAAGAGCTGCACTCTAGTGTCCTAGCCACGCGTGTCTACATGTCTACAGCACTTGAAAAAAGGCCATTCTGAGCTGAGCTACACTGTAACTGTAAATATTTATCGCATTTCTAAGACTTAGTATGAAAAAAAGAATGTAAAATACTTCAACTTTTAAATACTGGTTACGTGTTCAAATGACACTATTTTGAATGCATTGTGTTTAATGAAACATATGAATATTAATTTCACTGGTCTTATTTTATTTTTTTCGACATGGCTTCCAGGAAACTTTAAATTTCTTACATGGTTTCTATTATGTTTCTATTGGACTGCATTGCACTAGATCAACGATTTTCAACCTTTTTCAACTCATGGCACACACAAACTAATTACTAAAATTCTGTGGCACACCAAAAAATATATTTTGCCAATCTGACAAAAAAGAGGTATAATTTTGATTTATTCGTACTGGACCACTATTGTGTTGGCTATTGTCATTTTTTTATTTGACAATGTAAGGGAAGAGAGTTCTCCGCCCCACTTTTAAATAGTCAGGTATTGCATGTTTTAGAAATTCTTGTCACACACCAGATGAAAAATCACTGCAGTATACTATTGTTGACTTCTCAGATCTGGTTTTCTTCTATACACAACGACTTAAGGTAGCGAGTGCTACAAGCTTCTGGGGGCCTTGGGAGGATGGGTCAGCTTTCTAAGGAGCTGGTAAGGCCGAAGCAGATCTTTCTGGCTTCCCACTCATGCCGAGACCTTGCTATTCTTATTACCTCAGCCCTGACACTACTTTGCCTTTAGCAAAGCTTTTCCAGCAAGATCAGGAAAGAGCTAGTCTTTGGGAAGAAGATAAAGGTAAAGCCATTTGTAAAAGGGAAAATTGAGGAAAAGGGGAGTCAGTGGCTCCCAACATCATATGCATATCTGAGCAGAAAGAACAAAGGCTTGGGGAGAGATGAGCCTTCGTTCAAATACTGGCCCCACTATTTGCTACATGGGTGACCTTGGGCTAGTTAATCTCTTTGGACCTCAGTTTTTGAATCTGTGAAATAAGGATAATTCTGGCTTACAGGCTTTTTGTTGAATGAATGTCAATTAGAAAGTTTATCAAGCAAGCATTTGCTTTATAACAGAATCTCAATAATGTTGATCTTTCCCTCCCTGTTTTCAAAAGGTGAATCCCTTGTTTTAATTAAGAAGATCACTTTGATGAAAGTTATTAGAAGGCTGGGGTAAATAGGATCTTTAGAATGTTTAACATATGCTTGAGTTTCATGGTACAGGCTGAGGCTCCGTCAAGTTTTCCTGTGTTGTTTCATAAATGAGATTTAAAAAAAATATTTCCAAGTGTAGAACAGATATATGTCCATTAGAAATACAAACATAATCAGTGAATTTGACAACTGCCTTTCCATGCACTTGATATTGGCACATTTGGTCTTTAGGTCCAACATTACTGCCATCCACACAGACTCGAGAGCAAACATAAACTGGGTGGCCTAGCCTTCCTAACGGTGGTACGGGAACTGAGAAGCTCCTCTTTCCACACAGAGAATATTGCTTTCTGCACAGTTCATCACTCCTAGTCATCATTCCTTCGAAACACAGCTGGTAGGAAAAGCATGATGAGACCACTCACCAACAAACCACCCGTCGTCACATTTTTCCATGACATCAACAATATCTCCATCTCGGAGTTCCAACTCATCATCATTCTGTGGTATATAGCTATATAATGCTTGGTAGCTAAATCTATAAATGAGAAAAATGAATAGTAAGGGGCTAGTAGGGTTACACAAGGAATTTTAAAAGCCCTGTCAGTTCAGTCAACATTTAGGCAGTGTTTCTTACTCATCAGCAGAGATAAAAATATTGTGTTGGCTATCTCTCTAATGACTTAGCATTGGGGGAGATCCATTCAACATAGGATAATAAATTAAGAAGGACAGGGATGGAAAACTGCTGACAAGCAGGTCATGGTCAGTCCTTTTACTTAGTTTCAATGGGTTACCATCACCAAGGATTTTGTCTAGATGCCCGCCCCCTTTAAAGTTAACCAAGGCTTTCCTTAACATAGGATGATATGTGTAGATTGTCAAGAACAATCACAGGTTACTTAGGTCCAAAGAAAGACATTATATTCTTGTCATTTATACCGGAGAGCCCAAGACATTTGTCATATATTATAAAATTGTCATATTTATATGGAAACATATATATTCCAATTGCCACACTGTTTAGCAAAACTACCTTGAGTTTCTTAATACACCAACATACATCTCATTCATTGCTATTAAGTATGAACGTCATTTTCCTGAAACTCTTTAAAGCTTTTTTCCATCCCGTGGATTTGGGAGTTAAGATTTTTATTTGCTTGGTAGTTGGCCTAGGGCAACTTGGTGTGTGCTATTCTGCTTGTTCTAACAACAGTCACTGGAGAAAGATGGACTACATGTGGTGAAATCTGATATCTGCTTTGGCAACAGAAAAAGCTTTGTTTCCACTTATTCCTTTCACAAACACTTCAGAAGCATCCACTATGCACCAGTTCACAATTCTGTTTACTCATTATTTTGAAACACAACAGTAGCAGGCAAAACTTTGCAAATGAGCCAAACATCTACCATGTCAGCAGATGCCAGTGGTTTCCAGTGTGGGCAAGACAGACTAGATACAAGTAGGTGGAGCCAGTTCCCAGAAACAAGGGGTTCATTCTCCTCTGTTAAAACCAAAGGGACAATTTCATTTTATGTACTTGTCCAAATGTGCTAATATTTTGGTAGATGGATCTGTCTGCCAGAGGAAGGTTTCTAAAGAGGAATTAAGAGAGGCAGATAGATTTCCAGTTGGTAAATGAACACATTTTGATGTTTCTATGTTTGCCTCCTGTCTCCCCACCCAACCTGGACTCCTTGGAATGCCCTATCCCCCTCACTTGCACTTGGCTGCTTTGCTTGGCTCAACTCTGGAAGTAACTCCTGATTTCTGCTCCTCTGTCCTCACTCCCTGACTATGGAGCCTGGATGGAGAAAAGTCCTGTCACCCTGCTGCTTGGGTCACCCAGTCAGCTCTAATTTTGAATGGGCTACATGCTGCTCAGGACCCTGTTCCATTGAGTCTGCCCACCTCCTCTGCCACTTCTGCTGCAGAGGGCTCTTCACTCTCCTCCATTTCCTGAGAGGAAGCTTGATGTGGGCATCACTTTAACTTTCCTCCCCTTCAGGTTTAAGTCTCTATACCTCTTCCCACCTGCCTCTGTTCTTAGGTGCGAGGAAAGGTCCCTTCTGGCCATGTTGAATTCCCTTCCATGGGCTATTTCCTTAACTTCGGTCTTCTCTCACATCTTTGGACTCTGTCAACACCTTCTCCTCTGGTACGAATGTGCTGAAGTCTCTGTACCCTAAAAATGCCTCCTCTGTGTTTGCTACTCCCTCAATCTATAGCCCTTTCACTCACCACCAAACTGACTCATCAATCCTCTCTAACACTGCTGTCTCCCAGGTCACCAGTGATTTTTCTAGCTGCCAAACAGAACACCTGGAGGACACTTCTCACTTCCTACCCTCCTGGGCCTCTCTAAAGCAGGAGGCACTGCTGACCGAACACACTTGTGTTGTTATGTGCAAGTGATTGCTCCTAGACCCTCTCCTGAGTCTCTTGCTGCTCCTTCTCGGTCTCCTTTGCTGCTACCTCTGTTGCCTTAAAAACTGGTTATCCAAGGATCTACTGTCATTTCCTTTCAAACTTCACCTTGAATCTCCTTGGGTAATCTTGTGTCCATGGTCATAAATTACCCACTCTGTCACTTCTTGGCTGGATTACAATATCTCCCAACCAATGTCTTTGTCTCTCATCTCTGAAATCCACCTTCTACTCCATTACCAGAGTTATCTCCCCAAAACAAAACATAATCAACATGCTCCTCATTTCAAAACTCTCTAGTGGCTCCTGAGTGCCTGCAGAATAAATTCCACACTTATTTTGGTAGCATGATGGATTCTACAATCTGGTCCCAACTTACTTCTTGAGTGTCATCTGTTTTCTCCATGAACTGTATCCCGTAGTCACATGGGCATTTTTGAAGTTGTCCTAACACTCCACTTTTGCACACGTGGTTTCCTCATCTAGAAAGATCCCTATTCTAGCTCCCAAATCCAATTTGTCTTTCAACGCTTATTCCAAACCTCCTTGTTCTGTCAATGGAGTTAATGCCTTTGTGCTTAAAACATAGGAGACAGCCAGTATTTTTAATTTTTGTATTGTTAATGGTTTATTTTATTCTCATTCGAGAGAGAGGGAGATTGGGAGAGATAAAGAAACATCAATGCTAGAGAGAAACACAATCAGCTGCCTCCTGTATGCACCCTAACTGCGGATCAGGCCTGCAACCTGGGCATGTACCCTAACTGGGAATTGAACCAGCGACCTTCTGGTTATGGGAAGATGCTCCGACCAACCGAACCACACAAGTCAGGGCAATGTTTTTTTTTTCTAATGAATGGATAAACCCTATTCATTCAGCTCTGGTTGGAACTAACCATTCCTTCCTCTACATTCCCACACTAGGAGTGAAACCAGTCAGCACAGCTCCCATTTGCCCTTGGGTACCAGTCTGCCCTTAACCCGCCTCTTTCTCCCAATAGGCCATGATATCCTTCATTTACCGGCCACCTGTTCTCACACTGGCTGATGGAAAACATAGTATTCTCAGAGAAGCTGGGAGTGCTTCATTCATTCCCCCACAGTCAGTCAATGACCCACTTACTAAGCCCAGCAGTCCACTGAAACGTGAGAACTGAAGTTTGCCAAGTGTACTTACAAATCTTGTGAGGCTTGACTCCTGTCTGGAGTGACTCTTCGCTGCTGGGCTTGAGGTTGCTGAGAAATGATTAAAGATGATTTATTGTCAGAAGGGGATACCTTGTGATGAAAGTCAAGGGGATGAGAAACAGTGCTGCAGTAATGAACAGATTTTTCGGCAATGTTTATGATCTCATTGCAAACTGCTTCCTGTGAGGTGGCCCCGAGAAATCCAGAAACCCCCATAAAACAGTCAACATGGGGACAAAAAAGAAAGAGAGGAAGAGATGGAACATTCCAGACGAAGCACATAAGTCCAGGGAAACAACAGAGTTGAAGATCCAGGTTAAAAAAATAGATATTCCAGTAGTGGAGTGCAGGAGGGATCCAGGCGTAAGCATGGAAAGACAGGTAAGATACAGAATTTGGAATTTAGTATGAATATTAAAAAAAAAGGTAGCATAAAAGGTTGTAATTAGTGAGTAACTGTTATAAACAGAATAATTTCAGGATAGAAATGCAAGTATGTATCCCCGATCATGCACTAAGAACATTCATTTAATCCCACATGTAGGCAGAGTACAATTATCATCTCTAAATTCCTCTGCTTTTTTTAAGAGGGAAAGGGGTGGCCTACCATCTCTCTCTACTGCAACAGCCACAAAATTCTTATAAATAATGGCTCGGTGAGTGAACCAAGCATTACTTCAGGCAAGACTCTAGAAGTCAGTAAGGATTCTCTTTAGAAAAGCTACAGTCTTATTCAACAGGCATCTTACCACATAGCTCTTTTCAGATTCTGTGAGATCAGGTCCTGCTCTCAATGAATGATGAGAAGGCTGTGATCACCAAGCAAATTATAAGGGAGACATTTTAGCAGATGTCACATTGGAAAGAAATCAAAATAAAAGCATGAGCAAATACATGTACCACACCATCACACTCGATGACACCGGATACTCGCGGCCTATGCCACCGAGTTTCCACGACAACATGGTGGGTGCACAGGAGAAAATGCAATGTACAGAGTTAGAAGCAAGCATCCAGGCAATGAAATGGGAAGTTGGAAACATGGCTGCGGTGAGGTGCGCATGAACAACACAGGGTCCCCGGACTGGCAGGAAAGAGACTCGGAAGGGCTGTGTTAAGTTCCCTCTGCAGCCATAGGCATTGTTCCCCTCATTCTCAGCTGGGAAGCATCTGTGGATGGGCTGCTGGACCAAGAGCCAGTTTCAATTACCTGGTTGACTAGGAGCCTCCTCTAACTAAGCAGGCTCATAAAACAACAGGTATGACATATTTCGGTACTCATAAAAACTGAAAAGGAGAGTAGTGCTTTTGAAAAGCTCCTTGGTAATAGTTAAAGTATCAAAAAGACTGTCCCCTGGGAAATCTGCACATGACACACACACCAGCTAGGTACGAGAGTTCAGAAAGCTCACAGAGCCGAGCTTGCTTCCAGAAACAAGTGTCTGGACGCAGCCGCAGAAACTCATCACCCACCAGCTCAGGTACCACAGGCTGACAGGGAAGCACAGGTGCGATCATGGCTCACCACCCATCTTTTAAGGGGGTCTCCCACAGCAGAGGCCAGGCCTTCATTGAAAGAGTGTTAGAAATCATTTCCCTTAAAACAGATTCAATTCCAAGCTCTAGGAAGTCTCCCTAAGTAAACACTGGAAGAGCCGTCCCTGGAGAAATCCTCCAGGCAGCCCACAATCATAGCAATGAGCCTCAGTGAGTCCACGCCCTTCTAGAAGGGCACTCAGAGGTCTTTTGTGTGTCACTCACTTCTTTCACAAAGATGCCCAGAGAAGGTGGTGGCCTCCCCTGATGTCACACAGTAAGTTAGAGGTACACTTGTTTCCTGGATTCCTCTACTGTCTCATCGAAACTTCCCCTTCCTCCTCGGACCATCTCCAACATTACCAAGTGTGCTCACTGACATTACCTTCACTGAGTTCCACAAAAATGCTGGAGACAGGTAGGACAGGGTCTATCAATCCTGCTTGCTTTCAGAACCCAGGAAGCTGATGCTCAGAAGGGTTTTGTGCATTCCCCGCTGTCACACAGCTGGGAGACTCAAGGCTGCTAGGCTGTCTTTCCACATCACCACACCATCCCTGCCTGGTCTTCACCACTATAAATGACCTCGCCTTTCAGCATGCATGCCCTGTAGGTCCCGTGTCCACCCAAGATGCCACTTGTACACTCTGGTCCTTTTGGGAAACCTCTTCAAGTTCTCCAAACCCCTTCCAAACTTTTGTCATTTAAACCAGCCCCCTGGAGTCTGACAGAGTGAAGAAAGAGAAGGGACTGGAGGAAGCCATTTCAAGCTCCTTTTGCAATTTCTCCGGACCTGCATGCCTTTGGCAGGTGACCAGGAGCGTAACGCCATTCACCACCTGTCTATCCTCTGGATGGGGCTTCTGGGTAACAAAGGAAAGTAATGACCTTTCCAAGCACCTAGAGTGAAACTTATTCTGGGCATCCTGAGTGGATGATAGTAGCTCCAGGCAGATTTTAAAAAAATCTTTTATTGTATTTTTTCCATTACCATTTAGCCCCCTTATACTTCTCCCTACTGTAATCCCCACACCGTTGTCCATGTCCATGAGTACTTTTTCCTTTTTGCTCAATCCCTCCACCCGCTTACCAGCCCCGCCCCGCAATACTCTCCATCTATGAGTCTGTCTCTATTTTGATGGTTAGTTCAGTTTGTTCATAGATTCCACATCTAAGTGAAATCATATGTTACTTATGCTCTGACTGGCTTATTTCACTTAGCATAATGTTTTCCAGGTCCATCCGTGTTGTCGCAAAGGGTCAAGTTTTCTTTTTATGGCTGAGTAGTATTCCATTTTGTGAACGCCCCATAGTTGTTTTATCTATCCATCTACTGATGGACACTTGGGCTGCTTCTGTATCTTGGCAATTGTAAATAATGCTGCATCCAGGCAGATTTTGACTTGAGAGAAGGTGATAGGGAAACTCAAGAGTTAAAGATTTTAGCTTCAGTCATAGTTGATAGCTTAAGTAATTAATGCAGGTAGAAAGCAGTTATCCCAGGAACTGAAATGACCTATTAAACTCCAGGACAAGCAATCCAACCTTTGTGCCCCAGAGGGTCTGCAAATGATGGAGATGGTATCTGAGCCACTGAATTGTCGATCAGGAGATAAAGAAATACTAGCAAAATTGCTATGGACTGCAACTCTTACCTGATTAAACTTTTTCTAAACCCCTTACCTGTCCTTTCCTTAGCTCTATTAAAGAGGTTGGCTTGAGATGAGATGTTTTTTTTTCCTTTCTTTTTCTATTGTTGTTCAAGTACAGTTGTCTCCATTTCCCACTGACCAGAAGGTTTTTAAGGAAACATAACCTGCCATCTTCTCAGATTGCCAGCATCGGAATAAAGTGCCCATAAAGATTCAGTCCTCGTCTCTACGTAGTGGTTCTGATAGTGACAGGCAGCATGAACACTGACTTTTCTGGTTTCATTTTCTGGTGACTCCTGTGCGACACTTTCAGGACTCTCTGGTAAGTCTGGATATTCGGGTGGGGAGTCATGTTGGCTGCCTAGACTGGCGGGGCCTTGGGGTGCAGACTTAGAGACCCCCCAGCAGCTGCCAAAGTGATTTCACATGGGGACTCTCCTCTGATTCTCAGAACTCTCCATCACCTTTGTTTTCAATCAAATCTGGCTCATGACTCAGAAACGACCTCAGGAATTGAGGTGCCTTCTACTTTGTGTGACATTACAGAACTCTGTCTGGAAGAACTGTAGTCCCAGGTTACAACTCAGAATGGTTGTCAGGAATTAAGCTGCATTCTGGTTTGTGTGCTATTACAGCACTCCATCTGGTACTATGGTGTGGTGGGTGGGGGGCAGGCCTCCATTCTGGAAACAGCCTTCTGGGGCAAATTCTGGTTGATTGGTCAATCTATGTTTATGAACCTGAGAAAATGGTGTTTTATCCTAATACTGCTTAGCTTATGTATCTTGACTCAGAAGAATGCTGGTCGCCAAAAGGACCTTTAAACTACTGTACTATGCTGCAATTAGAGTTGTTTTGTCAAAGATCAGGGAAGTAGGAAGATGGTTCACAGAAAAGGGAATTTGCCTGTGGCAGAAGCTCAGAAGAGAGGGACCAGGAAGATCAGAATGGTTGCTGCGAGCACGGTCAGGGCTCCCACAGCCACTGCAGCCCTGAAGGATCCTCCTCCTTCCTCATCTGAGGGAGCTGAAGGAAGAGAGCAGACTTCTCCAGTTTCAAAGGGAAACTTTCTGAAAGTTAAGAGCTGTCCAGCCATAGAACGGGTTTTCTCAGCTGTTCCAGCTGAGGCCGTGCTGACTACTACTAGTTGGGATATTGCAACGCGGTGCTTCTCAAACTCTAACGTGTGCTGGTATTCCCAGGGATGCTGTTCGAATGCAGGATCCTGTAGGATACATCTGGAGTGTGTCTTGAGACTGCACATTTCCATCTGGTGAAGTTCATGCTGCTGGCCCACAGAACAACTGTGGGAGAGCAAGACTGCAGAGTACCTCAATTATCTGACACTGAGATTCTTTGTGGCAAGAGTGATAGGAGTCACACCTCATGAAACACAAGTTCTCATACAAATAAAAATATTTCCAAATTCCAGCTGGTGGCCTAATGACCTCAGGTCAAATGCAGAACAAAGAGAGAGTATGGACAATCTCTTAACATAATCTCCACAGTTTACAGAAGCCCCCCAGCATCTTTCAATTATCTTAATCCCACAGTGGTGACTGGAATTGATCAACTAGTAACTATTGGGCATGTAAGAGATTTGGTGAAGCAGATACAGAAAGAAGGATTGACATTTTACTATTCCTTTCTTTTATCAAGCACTTCTTTAAAGCAGCTTTCAAAGCATACATAGGTCCATTTCCTCATCTGACTCTTGTACTAACCCATTGACTTGGGGAGGGCAGAGGATAAAATTTTAAAGCTGAGGGAAGTCTGAAAACTAGCACGAGGTGGCAAAGCCACTGAGTGCAGAGCCTCTCAAGTGTCTGATCACCATACACCACCTCCCTCTTAAGTCTTGATGAGATAGCTGGTATCACCAAACAATTAACACCCAGCTTCTGCCTCTTCTGAGGACAGGCAGTGAAACTTCTCTTCTTGATTACTTTTTTGTTATGTAAAAGGTACAGTGGGTATTAATAGAGATCATCCAATCATTAACTCATCCCCAGTACTGGAAGTAATACTGATAGCTCCTCTTTCCTCGGTCTCAGGTCCTGCCCAGACCAGAGGGTAATCATCATCATAACCTTCACATCTGGACAAACTTATCCCTGAGAGCTAGAGACAACTTGCTTGGTTCCTTACTTAATGAAGGAAGAAGACAAGATAAACATTTATCCTATTAGTGAGAGAGAAGGAAAGATAAACACTTATCCTATTAGCTAAGATTCTGTTCTCTCTCTTGGAAATGCCTTCCTTAGACTTAAATCAAATATCTCATATAACTGAAATACAAACAAGTTTTTTGGGAGGTGAGCCCTTAATGGAGATGGAAACCATTAACATCCACCATAGGGATTCACCCTTTGCTCGGAAGGTTGCTTATCCTCACATTTTTTTCCCCTCTAGGCCTAAGTTTTATTTTGTTTCCCTGGCCTCACTTATTGTGTACAGCTTTATTTTTCTCTTCCTCCAAACCTATACCATCCAATATGGTTGCCAGTAGCCACATGTGTCTACTGAACACTTTAGATGTGGCCAGGATGAAATGTGCTATAAGTGTAAAAATTTACACTGGATTTTAAAAATGTGGTACAAAATAAAGACTGCAAAATATC